AACTCTAAAGCTTAAGCCCTAAACCCCTTGACAGCTTAAGATTCAGGATCTGAGAAGTCCGGGATGATTGCAGGCATGCTAGAGGATAACCAGGCAACCATGTCACATGATTGGGCGGCAAGCATGCTGGAGAAATGGCATGTAAAAACATTGGCGGATTAAAGGCAGATAGACTGCTAAAAGAAGCCCGGAGTAGCAGAAAGTGGTAGGCAAGTTCTCTTTGAGACGTCCCAAGCTTCCTTCTTCATTTGTGGCTGTTGCCTGCTCTATAGCCTGGGATGATACCGCCCTTGTAACCCTTAGGCTTTGATACTACAATGTGCCCTAAAATCTTTTCCAATGATGTTAGGCTCCTAGACTGGGTGGATGCCGCGCTTGGATGCCTGTGCATTGGCTTTTTCTCTGCGAGCGTGGTTACGTGGGATGGGTGGAGTCAAATCCCCTCCCCTGTCTGCAAAGCCCACCCACAACCCTAGAAGTAAAGTAGCCGCATAATATACAACAGTATAGCTGATAGTACTATTGCCTCCCTAGGCCAATTGCCCTCACTAGTGGGCTACTGGGAACAGAACAGTTAGTCACACTAGTAGCCCACATGAACCCTCCACCGGGCCGAGAAGGGGGAGAGGAGTTGTAAGGCGTTGCAGGCCCTGGGTCGCACATACTCCTTGCCAGCCTACCTTGAACTCATTTCCCGCCTGCGCGATACTCCCTGGCAAAACTTAATCCTGACCCCATAAGGCTAAAACATAACATACCTCCATTCCAATACTGGCACGCTGAACCCTTTTCCCTATACCCTGAAACCCACAAAATGGCACAACCCAGTTGCGGCGGGGGCCGCTGATCACGGCTCTCCTGGGTTGGATGCGAGGAACTTTTTTGGCTGGTTCCGGCCTTACGGGGTCTTCTGGGCGTGCTGCAGGAAAGCAGTATCCATACACAGGGGGGCATGTTGCATTTATGAAGTCAAGAGCCCCCAGCGCGCCGTAGACCTTGTCTATCATCCCTCCCGACACTATCACCACTCAAATGTGTGAAGGTCGTGTGGGCTAAGGATCAGCGCAGGTCTTGGAGCCAAAAGCAACAATTCAACAACTCGTGAAGACTGGCCAGCATGAAGCCATAAGTTGCAAGCCCCACTTTCCAGGAGACTGCAAGAACAGTTCGTCATTCAGAGAAACATGCTTCTCAACTGAGAGTAAACACTGCCAAACTCATTCCATACCTGTCTTTTCCAAACTCCTAAACCCTAAACTCTACACCAAAACTTGAACCCTGGACTTCGACAACACACGTACTAGACACCCAAACCTTGAACCCCAAATCCTAACACCTTTGCCCGGAAACCACATCCCAAATCCTCAAACCCTATAGCCCCCCCTTAAGTAGATAGAATATGGAGTACATGGAAATCTTATGATGAAATTACGCAATTCCAAGTTCTATCTACTTTAGGAGGGCCGGCTATATCCCCATAATCCCGAACCCTCAACCAAAGAACCCGGAAAGAGACTGAAACTGCTTTCTGCTGGGCCCCTGAGGCTATGCAGAATTCCAGGCTAACTCCCCGAACCCTAAACCCTAAACCCGATGTAACCCCTATATACTTGATATAGCCCTTATATAATCCCAGTCTCTCTGCCGGCCACGACAAGCTTTACCGCTGCTAAGGCGTCCGACGGATTGAGCCAAACCTGGGGAAGACATTCTCGGTTTGTATCATGGTCTATTATGGCATATTATAGTACATTATCGT